ATTGTGTAACTTTATTTCATTATTAATTATATTACCATCTATAGGATGGCGTCCATGTGGGCGCAATCTTATTTCATCCAGGGGGAAGGGGTGTTGTGTCCTGAGCCTGCAAGATGCAGGCTCGGGACGTTGCAAGAGTCCCGGGCAATTGCAGAAGCTGCCCGGGACCAGACTGAGCGGCGCCAGCCTTGTGCGCATGTGCAAGGCGGGAAAAGCCCGCCTCATGATTGGTTGAACTTGCCCGGGGATCAGAGGGTATAAATAGAGGCCTGCGTGCCTCTGCTCTGGTTGTTCGTAGAGTGGAGCAAACAATAAAGACTTGTTGGAGATGATTCGTCTCAAGCGCCATTATTCCCAGGACTTAACACATATAAAGTAGTTCAGGGCTCTAAAGTTTAGGACAAATTTCTGGTATTTCAGGAATTTCCTCAGTCACTTTTATATTGTGTTGTTCATTTCTCTCTTGTTGGTATAACATGAAATATGTCATCCTTTTGTGTCTTACTACATTATTAGCTAAATTAGTCTGCATAAACATGTCAGCTTCCAAGGTAGATGTTCCATAAAATGCAGCTCCTAAGGGATGAGGATAATGATGGGGCTTAATAACTTAAATTGGTATTATGTTCTAGAAATGTGCAGAAAAGGCCCTTTCTCTCACAACTCACCATTCTGATTGGTCTCAGAAACAGAAGTACCTCTATTGCAGATAGTAAAGTGATACAGATGTAATGCTGGCACAAGCAATTAAACCCAAGCATTCATTGCTTCTACGTGCAAAATGCATTCTAATTTATATTCAGAGACACGTTGCTAACTATTGCAACTGGGCAAATTTCCCAAATGCTTCTTTTAGGATCTTTACTTTTTCATGGTTAGTCTTTGGGCCAAGATTAGGTTGCTAATTTCAAAAGGGACATGTTAGAAGAGTTTTTTATGCTTTGAGAAACTACTGTTTCAGAAGACTTGAGATATTTACAACATTTCCATAAAGCAGAATAGCTATAATATAAAAATATACCTACCTGTAAAAATAAACATTAGGAAGGAATAATATTTAGAAATAATGTAAAAATACGAGTTAGAATTTCCATCCTTTGTTTAGGTCAGAATTCTTTTACATACTATAGTAAATTGAGGTGGAAGGGGAAAGAGGATCATAGTTCAATTTTGTTTTACCTGTTTGGCAGGGCAGCTCAGGGCAGACAATCTGAGGATCTGAAAAAAAGTAAAAAAACACTTGATGGAAATCATTCAGATCACATTTGTATACATATCAACAATTAGGCAGGATATTGAAAATATTAAGTTTTAAACTAATGCGATCAAGAGAAGCTAATTAATCCTTTTTCTTGGGTCAAAATGATCTTCCATGCAGAGACAATGACATGTTGGCTTAGGAACTTTTCCTTTGGCATTAAAGTGAAGCAAAGGGACTAAGAGAATATTCCATCATTAACAACAAATAAACTGAATCTCATTTTCATTTAGGATGATAGCCTAATCAAGAGTCAGTGTATAATTGGCATTCAGACTCACTCTAAGATTGGCAATGACTACATTGATCAGTCTTTGAAAACTGTCCTTTAAGCAATAGCAATAGCACTTAGACTTATATACCATTTCATAGTGCCTTACAGCTCTCTCTAAGCGATTTACAATGTTAGCATAGAGTCAACCTTGAGCTGCTCAGAATCAAATTACTGGAGTGAGCAGTAAGCTAGCCTGCAGTACTGCATTCTAACCACTGCACCACCATGGCTCTTAAGACTATTAAGGCTTGTTAAAACTTTACTACCATAGTGGGTACAAAATATGGTGAGGCTGTGCTTTGTGCTATACAGACCTTTCTAATTAAACTGCATTAGCAAACACACTTTTCTTCATAGTGAACTATAAATGCAGTTGGGTATGAATGTTATCTTATTGAAACAATGCAATTTTCTCCCAATTAATCTTGCACACAAACTATGATTTAAACTTTCAGTTAATACTTGAAAAAGTAAGCCTTGCTGCTGGACCAGAGCATTCCCTACTGTCTATTCCTTCCAACTCTGAATATCACTAGACCTTGACAATTGCTACTTTTTAAAATGGGGTGCCACGAACATAATACTTAGCCTAAATATATGAAAAGACATGCCATATTACTTTCTTGCAATTAGCCTTAGCAAAGCTTGCATTGACTGACCTGGACAGAGTTCAAGCTCTATTTTGTCAAGAAACTCTTCAGCCACCAAATCAGTGAACACTTTCATTCTTTGGACTCTATCTTCGTCATTACAAGCAATTGCTTTCAGAGTCTCCGATTCTTCATCTACATTGAACATGTCTCCAATCCCAATGGCATTGACCACAACATTTCCATCACAGAGGGCTTGCAAATTTGAGTCTTTATCTCGAGGGTCATGACGTCCATCAGTCACCACCACAGCAAATACCCGGGCTTTATCTCTCCGGCTTTCTTTGATGAGTGTTTCGTAGGCAAACTGAAGTGCAGAGGGAGTCCAGGTGCCCCCTGCAATCCATTCCAGTTTCTTCACTGCTTCTTTGAAACTAGAGAGTGAATCAATGCGCTTATCATTGAGCTGGATGGCTTCAAAGGTGCCCTTATGACTGTACTGTACCACTCCAACACGGGCACCTGCCAGGAAAATAAACTTGGTCATAATTCCTAAATTTTGATATTCTATTTCCCCTTCATCACAGTGATCTCTAACCCCCAGCCTGTTTGAGTGCAGATTCACATATGTACTGAGCCAATGATTTGAAATCATTTTCAGAGACCAGTAATACAGTTATTGTAAAAAATACTCAGAAAAAGTATCATTTCTGATCATTAGAGAAAGGGCTGGTCTTGGTTCCCAAGTCAAATAACAATTGACACAGACATAATGTCACATCCCAAGTGGCAGCCACAAAGATGTCAGTTGCCATTGATATTGCCCTCTAGAACAAACCTAACAGGACATTTTGGATCTCCTTTGTATTGATGAATGACACCACTGGAGGCTCTTCTATGGTATCATCCTTCCTTAAGAGCAGCACTAATGAAGTAGAAAACCAACTATTCCAATGAAGCCTCCAGTGCAGATAGAGGTTGATCAAAAAAGGCTGTCGGTATGTTAAAGAAATCTGGGTCCAAATACAGATTTTTGTATATACAGTATCTTTTTAAAAAATTAGACCAGTGTGGAATACTTGTGGGTTGAGATAGCAAATTTCTGCAGTAGTGACGTGGATCAGATATTGCTTCCTATGCAGCAATTCATTAGTGGCTGAAAAAATGGATGTCATCATATAGGTATCGGAGACCATTACAGCTATGGAGAATATTCAGCTGTAAGAAGAAATCATCAGTCACTGACCTGTCTCTGATTTTGGATCTTTGGCAATGGACCCTAGCCTGCTCACCACATTGATAACAAAATTCTTCTCCAGGGAGAAATTGGTATAGCCAATACTCTCTGAACTGTCTATGACGAAGACAATGTCCAATGGACCACACCGCTTCTCACAATCTATGGAAACAGAAGACAAAATAATCATAACCTGTGCCAGGAAACGAGCCCAGGACCACCACAAAAATGCACTGCAAATAACTGAGAAGTATTTTAAAGTATGGAGCCTCTTGAAGCCTATTTGAACATTACACATGTGAACAAACCAGGGCTAACATTTTGAGTGGTTGCACACATCATGCTAAACTAGCTTTCCCCAACCTGGCATTCTCTAAATATGTTGGACTACTCCCTCTATTCTCCCAAGCCAACAGGGCCAATAAGAATGGTGAGAGATAGTGATGCGAGGGCACTAGAATGCAAAAGGTGGAAAGTCAAGCAATACCATAGATTATCCAGGCCATGTGTCCCCAGGGAAAACTGCTTCTAAACTGTCCCTTCCTACATAGTCTGAAGCTTGGCATTTGGAAGCTTAAACTTCTGGTTTAGCTAAATGCTGGATAGCATTAATTAAGCAGCTTGATCAGCCACTGTTAGTTCAGAGTGAATAATGATGTCAATTCAGACCCTAGAAAAAAATAGTAAAAGTACATTATTTCACTTCCAAATGCATCCTTTCTAAATTAAATGAGACGGAAATGGTAAATTGGCAAGAATCCGCTGGAGTTGGTGGCCAATAATTTTAAACAAACAAACAAACAAAACAAATAAACAATATCCTTCTGGCTTATTTCCCACATTAGGCATGCATACATGGTAAGCTGTGACTATTTCTGCCTATTTGCAATGAATTAAAAACAAATCTACTGCTTAGAGTCATCTACAATTCTGCAAATCCTTTTGATGTACGAGTTATTAGTCTATCCTAAACTGTCCAAAATTAGCCTAGCCATCAAATAACTGAAGAACACCTTGATATGATGGCAACTTTTCCCTATTAAAATGGTATAATTTTCCCCTTCTCAGAGAACCCTTCTGCTCTAAATGAAGATCATGCAAAGACTCCGAACAAACCACAGCAGCCACAGGTCTCTCTGATGTAGGTCATCACATCGCAGTCCTATAAACAATAACAACAGCAACAATTATGTATGCAAGATATACATGGACACCAGTAGATTATTATAAACATTATACAGTAATGTGCACTCCAATGTTCTATTATTGCAACACTATAAGCCCTCAAATATTTGCCTATACTCTACAAAATATGATCAGAGGGTATATGCATTAAGGTATATATGAAACAAAATCAGTTTCTGTTTATAATTTCTATTATGCCAGGTAGTGTGAAGCAGCATTTGCTGTGCTTTTTCATAACTCACAACAAATTACCACTGATACCAGAAAGACAGCAAAGTTACCAAAGTAAGTATGCAGTATAAGAAATGTTCTTAACTTACAGTTAGGCCAGGATCTCCAGGAGGACCAGGGTCACCCTAGAAAAGAAGATGATGGAAGCATTCATCAAATGGAAATCCACCTTTCTGAGATTTCAGGAAGAAAAGTAATATATCCATTTGCAATATATTCACTAGCTTTGGGAAATATAAGTGTTGCTTTAAATAAGAAAGAGTCTGGCAACATCAACAGTCACTTGTCCGAGATTAGTGGCTATAGAAAGTGAATAAATAAATAAATAAGTAAAATTCTGATAGGTGGATGGCATGGGTGGTTAGTAGCCGTTTATAAATGAAAAACACTGATATCACTAGTCATTATTTCCCCTCACTCTACAAGTTTATACTTGCTACCTCTTTGGCAGGAAATAAAAAAGTTCCAGAAAAATCCAAAGGAAAAAATTATTCTATTAGACGACACAAGTGGTAAGTAGAATCAAGGCAGGGAGCATAGAAAATGTGTCATGGAATGTATAAAAATGTGTCATTCAGAGACTTAATGATTGCGAATGGTATGACAGTTTGCTGACTTAGGAAAATATTTATTTTGAACATGTGGTTTAAACATAAATCTATTTCCATGTACACATAGCATACAAATAGATTTAAAAGTCTCACTGATTTGATTATTTATCACAAAGGACTGAATGAGAGGCAGTGGCAGATATAAGAATAATGAGATGGTTCTGATTGAGGGACTGAAGGTGTTTTGATAGAGCCAAAAAGTGGTTCTTGGGAATAAATTTTATATAAACAGCAACAGAACGACAGAAATATGACAGCATGACAGAGTGCTTCTAATGCAACCATTATGTACAAAGGACAAGGAAATGGGGGAGGGGCTGAGCACAAAACATGCTTTCCTTGAAATCCCTCCACTTTGCCAATAAATAATTCTAATTGTAATTGTAATTTTCCTTCTCCCTTTAAACTTAGTGTTCCTGAGGTAAGCACTAAATTAAATGGAAAAGGACTCCTCCACCCAGCCTGCTTTTTCCAGCCTACAGAAAGTAATGGATGTTACTTGTGGTGCTGGCAACACCATTGCCAACCTCTCTGCAAAGATGAGGTAAATGGACTGTTGTCAGGGCAGTGGCTTAGAAAGTGACATGCTTTCTTCCCATCTTAGGGACAAAAGCACATTACTGGGGGAGTCAAGGTAGTCACTTCTTTTGCCTCCTGTTTCTCAAATGCCTCACCCCAAGGGAAGTGAGCCATGCAATAATGTCCAACCGGATGCACAATTACAATACCTCGGGTCCAGATTCACCATCTGATCCTCTGGGTCCAGGTGGACCTGGAAGGCCGACATGTCCCTAGAAAGACAGAGTAATGCAGTTAAAGGCAGTGAATGCAGAAGGTTTTACTGAAGAGTACAGAAAATGAATGATAGATCTTTGGAGACAGATAATTGTTTCAAAGAGGGGATTTATAACTCTCTGACTACAGTATATAGTTATCTCTCTCCCTGCCCCCTTCCCCCTTTTCTCTCTCTCTCTCTCTCTCTCTCTCTCTCTCTCTCTCTCTCTCTCTCTCTCTCTCTCTCTCTC